TGAGCAAGGGCTGGTTGAACGACGAGTAATGAAGTACTTTGCGAGAAGGAAAGCATGTAATGAAATCTTGTTAGTCTAGCAATGTTTAATACCACGAGCGATTTGCTGTCATTTTCTATGCATTGAACGTGCGGACTCTTATCGGCCGAGAGATACTGACTAGGCAAGTGGTGTGAGCAAGCACGCACGCATGCATACCTGTACCTACATGCCCCTATCACGATCATGACATGTATCGTACATTGCATTGCACCTTGAAAGGTCCGAAAGCTGAAGGTCGGTTGCAGTGACATGGGATGACACCCATGTCACCCATGTCACAGCCTTCAATCTGACGTCTGACTGCAAGCGCCGTGGCTTGGAATATTGCCAATTATCGCAACCTCGCGTGGCTTGCACGTGTGCCAGTTAGAGTTGGCCGAGAACATTGAAGCTAGATCCATGGATGCATGCACGGTTGGATGCTCACCGAGGCGTGTCTCGGACCCCTGGCCCTCGGTCGAGATCCCACTTCATAAGGCTTCGGGGTCGATTTACCGGCCTCGTTGATCAGCACATGCAGCATGCAGTGGCTCGGTTTTCCAAGACCGAGTGTGGAGATGCGAGCGGATCGTCAAGAAGGATCACTGATATGGAGCTCCGTTTTGCTGGGCTTTGCATAACGGAAGCAGTGGGCGCTAATTCCGTACCAATTGGTCACGCTGAAGGAGGGTTTTTCGTTGCCCACCAAGTAATATCGGATGATCATTTTCCTTGTCCGGAGTAGAGTGTGTGTTTAGAGGCCGTTTGACACCTCGGCCGCTAGCGAATGGAACGATTGGGGCCGCTGGGAGAAACTCTGTTGCTCCGCATTCTTCTAGACGATGGTGATGGCTTCATGGAGTACGTGTAAACGAGTATAGACGCGGCGTCGGCAGCGTACAATATGCCCGTCGATAATTCTCCCCGAAACGGGCGGGGGTGTGAAGATTCTCAATTGACTAGCCTTCGGTTCTTCATAGGGCATTTTCCCATGTTCCTAGTTTCCGAGGTGCTCCAACGGAGGAGGGATACGAGAACGGCTAGCGAAGCCCTCATGGTGGTAGCCCTCACACGCGTCCCGCTGACAAGGGCTTTTAACGCCGCCAGCGCTAGGCGCAAATAAGATCTTGGGAACTGAGGGCATCCCCGGAAACGACCCCGAAGCAAGCAGCAGGGTTGGAGAACATGCGGAGGGAACGAGCGAGAGGGTGTGTGCAACGATGCTTCCAAGAGTTCTGGACGGTGGCTCGTGACGCTTGCTCGGGGTTCGAACTCGGCATTTGGCCCCATCAGCACGACGGGAGGCAATTGAGATTGACGATGTTCCGAGCACTGATGAAGTCAGATTGATTAGATGGGTGGCACAGTGGCAGTGAAAACCGGAGAGTGGCGCGTACCGGCCCCCCAATAGACAAGAGACCGACTGCTCATCATCGACTTTGCGGAGTCTTAGTCTTAGCCGCGGCATATTGATTCTCAAATTACTTGCTCAAAACAGGCAGGCCAAGGATCGAGGCGAAAGGGACCGAAGAGGGAGAAGAGACCCAATCACCTGCATCGTTGATGTTTCGGAGCCCTACCCTGTGCGCAAGCTCGCGCAAGCTCGAGTAATGCTCGAGTAATGGATGGGATGATGGGTTGATGGCTAAAAGGGACGACCAACGAGATGGAGATTGCAGAAATGCGTAGCTTGCTTTTTTTACTGGCAGCCTGGAGCATCCTCAGCGCGGCAGGCCAATAGTAGCGCCGATAACGCCAGCCCATGCCTGTAAAGGGCCTGTAACGGAGCGTGCTAACAGCCCGCTATGCCTGTAACTGGGAGATACAAAGCCACTAGGGGTCCCGTAAGCACAGAGCTGTTACTAAAGGAAATGGACAAGTCGATACGATATTGATCCCCACCTCCACCTCCGAGCCTTGCAGACTGGAGCAAAGCAAAGCAAACCACCAAGACAACAGGCCAGGAATGACGAGATATCGCCCGCAGAGTCTCCCCAAAGGCGTCGTCTCTGTGCATGCGCGATAAGGAGGAGCTTGGACTTGACTTGGAGCAAATCACAGCCTGAATCATATCAGATGTGGAATCACCCCGATCCCGATCCCGGCCATGCAGCACGCACCGTAGAAGAGCCTCCACCAGTCTCGCTATCAATGCCCGAGGAGGACGCAAACTCGGTATCGAGCCACGATGACGGCTCCAGCGCCGACGAAACCACGCCTGCCGTTGCATCGTCGTCGCAGAATGGATCGACGGGCGCGTCGGGCAAGAAGCGCAAGCGGACCAAGTATCAGAAGACGTCGTATGTTGTGCTACTCTCTCTCTCCCCTCTCTGCCTTGACTTGCTTTTGCCTCATCTCATCTCATCACATCTCCTCTTTTGTCCCCTATCTGCCCTGGCTGTCCTTATCATTGCATGTCAATGTCACAGGTCATGTCATCGCAGGCTTCCCAGAATGAGTGAATGTGACAACTCGAGCCGCCGTATCAGACCAGCCACGCTGACCCTCCCAGTTGCGAGCTCTGCAAGGCGCGCAAGGTCAAATGTGACCGCGCCGAGCCAGCATGCTCATGGTGCGCGCGGCATAACCGGACATGCGTCTATCTAGAGAGGCAGAAGCCCGGCAGCCGCATAGGATTCAGTCTGGAGCTCGAGGCCAAGGTCAACCGCATCGATGCGTTGCTGCAGAGCCTGGGGCGGCGCGTCGAAGAGCACATTGCCAACGACCACCTGGCCGTTTCGCAGGCTCAGGGGCTATCGCCAGCCCTCAGCAACCACTTGCCATCTCCGGCTGACCCTTATCATCAAGATAGCTCAAGACTCGGCCACGTGGGAGCTGCCAGGAGCACTCCTACGCAAAGGCCGAGTCTTGTAGCCCCTGCGTGGGATGCAAGTAACGGCGACCTTCATCAAGGCGGCCGGATTCCATCTCATACTGGCTCAGACTCATCCGCGGTAAATAACTCCTATGCTCAAACTTATCCATCTTCCAGCTTTACGGCGCCTCGAAGAGGCCCCTCATCCATATCCGCTGCCGTTAATGACTTTCCCCCTCACGACATCGTCTATACTATCGTCGACCTCTACTTCAAACACTGCAACCCTTGGTGTCCGATCTTGGAACGCAAAACCATATTCGGCGTATTCTTCGGGTCGACTTCTTTAAATGAGCCAGACCGTGTGCTTTTGCACGCCATCGTGGCAACCACATTGAGGTTTTTAAAGGATCCCCGCTTGACTCCTGAAATGAGGGCCCATCACCATGCTGTTTCGAGACAAATCGTCCAGATGTATGCAATGGAGAATGTGAGTGTTGCGGCACTCAGGGCTTTGGTCATTCTCAGCTTGGACGAGCTGGGTACCTCAAATGGACCTAAAGGGTGGAATCTTCTCTCTCTTCTTGCACAAAACGTCAAGCAACTCGGGCTTTGCGAGGAAAGTAGCGTCTATCTGTCAGTTCAGTCTGACAACCTACCACACACGGGGTCGATACGAAGAGTTACTGCTGGGCGGCCGGAGTCATGGATCGAGGATGAAGGCCGCCGGCGAATATGTTGGATGGTCTATCTGCTCGATCGATACGCTACAATAGCGACGACGACGTTTGATTTCATGCTGGAGGACAGAAAGATGCAGAGGGTCCTTCCATGCTCTTACGATCTCTTTTCAAGAGACGTTCCAGTCGAGACGCGATCCTGGATCTCGTTGTCTCAGCCGTATGGCACTACGGGGTATGCTACCAATAAACCGGAGAACCTGGGCAGCTTCTCCTACCACTGTGAGATCTTGAGGATACTCAGCAAAGTGCACAACTTCCTCAAGACGCCCGTCGATATTACATCTTCTGCCGACGTGGCCAGTTGGCGAAACAACTACCGCTCTCTAGACAGTGCACTGGATGGCTGGCTGAGGAGTTTGCCGAGTGACTACAGCAAAATCTCAGCCCTCTGCCACTCTGATCCTGGCAGTAGGGTAGCAAACTGGTTCATGTTGCATGGCGCCTACGTTACGTCCGTTGTACGGCTACATTCGTCGGCGGCATATCCGACAGTCAGGTCGCATCTCTTCGTCCCGTCGTATTACGCAATGCAACGATGTTTGTCCGCTGTCCAGAGCTTGGCAGATATTGCACGAGACGTCTTCGAAGCCAGTGGGTTAGATAACCTCGGCCCTCCATTCGTCTTTGGTCTCTGGGTTGCCGCCAGGCTGTTGCTGGTCCATGCGGCCTCGATAGGCTGCCCCGTCGATCCCAAAATCGAGTTCTTCATCGAGATCCTCGGCCACATTGGACAGTATTGGGAAGTCGCCAATAACTATGCCAAAATCTTGTCTCGAGCTGTCCAGAGAGGGCGGCAGGGAGACATGAACTTTACAGCCATGCGCAGGTAAGTTGCATAGCCAATTGCGCCGTTCCTTTGTTACATTTCCACATACTTACAGCCGTCATTAGGAGCGCACATGATCTAGCAACTCTGACATCCTCCTCAAGATTATCGGGCTCAGAGCCGACCTCAACCCAAGTCACTTCCCTAAGCGAGCTCGACAACATTGACATCTTCGACTTCTTTAACTACCCCAAGTTGCTGGAGCCAAGATCAACAAACGGTCAAGCATGGCAAACGCAGGGGGTTAATGGGCTGACGGGGGAATCCATGAGGATGCCAGATCCAGAGTCGGACTGGCTCGGATACAATTCGCAATTTCAGTAACCGGGGACGGCGTGTAAGATTTCGATTTAGCGTGAATGATTGATTATGAACAGCGATACCAACAACAGCGATGTACATGTGGAAGCGGGTGCTTCGGAAATGAGTGTTTAGATATTTGATCAAATATTTATGAGTATACAATTCCACAGTTACGATTGCGCAATTTTTGACGAATACATGTTGCATTGCAAGGTGCTAGGCCATATGTTGATTGACTTTAGAAGTGCTTATCGTCTAATCTACGCCTATGACATCTCTACCCTATTCTCCTTTTCTTACTAAAGACCGACGTTGGCCTTTTTCAAGATGTAGAGTAGGCAACTCTTCAACATATCTGAGCCAATATTCAAGCATTCTTACTCCTTGACGTCCTGAAGCTTTCCAGTCTTGATATCATAGACATATCCGTAGACCTTCAAGTCCTTCCTCAGGTAGGGACTGTCCTTAAGAATCTTCATATCTTCAACAACGCTTGCTTTCAAACTACAACGGCTGCGCATTAGCATCAAGTTCCATACGAGATTAATCCAGAACTAGCCCACTTACTCGAGAATCTCCAAAAAGTCCATCTTGGCAATCTCAGCGGTATTTTCAGGTGCCTTTTGTGTCAAGGAACTGTGAAGGAAGTCGTTCCGGAGGTGAGTAAGTCCGCAGTCTAGCCAAAGTCTCATTAGTACGTGCTAACCCCAAGCGGTGGGAACAGGAAGCTCTACCAGTGTGGTGGATGACGATGACTGCGCCAACGCCAAGCAAATGATCGATGCAGATGAGCGATCGTAGGGCTTCGCTTGCGCGTCCGCCAGCGTTTCTGACCTCGCCGACTTCTAAAGGGGAAGAGTTAGCAGCTTATTGCTTGAGGTTTACAGAAAGGCCGTAAGCATACTCATTCCGAATCCACCCAAGAATTGGTCAGGAAGGACACGCGGGTCGCAACATGTTACTGTATAAGAAAGAATGTTAATGTTGGAGAAACAGAGGGAGGGTGGTGGTGAATGACTTACCGACCATGACTGCGCTTGCGCCAGGTGGCAGAGAGCCCCTCAATTGTTCCAAAGTTGGCAAGGGCTGATGAGTCGACGAGCATTGTCTGTCAAAAACATTGTGTTAGAAGGTGTTTCTAGGGTAGGGGTTGTGTAAGAGTCGTACTCAGCATGTTGGAGCATGCCCTGAACTTGTTCTTCTTGGGATGCCATTTTGTAGTTGTGAGAGTAGACACAAGAGTTTTGAGAGAGAGGGAAAGAGGGCGGTAGGAAGAGTTGATCAGGCTTGAGAGTAGAGAATGGATTCCAGAGAGGAAAAAGAACCCTTTTTATACTGTCTTCTTGCTCGGTTTATATCTGCGTTTAGGGAGCTCTTCTTAACGCACACTGCATCTCATTGTCAAAAGTCTTGGCGCGATGGATTTCCTGAAGGAGTATAGGGGCTGAGTATACCTAAATCGGTATAGCTATGTATAATCTCACTGTTTCTTACATGGCTGTCTCTCCCTTCTCCTCTTCATCGCAAAGCTTATTCCTTGTAGATATTAGCTACGGTGAGACCATGTTACAACAAATTTGACTCAAATATCTCTGAATAAGATTATTTATATTATACATTATCCCAAATTGGCTTTAAAACCTGGCCTATTCAAAAGTAGACAGCTCTTATGTAGATTTCCTAGTAACCGTCTCAACCGAAGGTATATGCGATGCGAGTAGTATGCCCATCGTTTCTAGTTTGGCAATAAAATTCTCACACCACACGACCTCCTTCGTCTTTTTTTCCTCCCTGAAGATTTGCAACGCCACGTTGATAGGATAAAGTGTTGCCGCTGGGCCATATAGCCCCATTTCTGGTTGGAGATGGTATCGCATGCTCTGGCAAATGTCTTTTGCGAGCGCTACCCTATTTTCTGGTGAGATCGTAGCCCGCTGCTTCCAAAGGCATGCCACATCAACTCCATTCTCCTTAGAAAGAGCTAGCAGAGTCGATATTGAGAGCTGGATAACTAAGAGAAAGCTCCAATAATGAGACATCGTGTTGGCCACTAGGATGGTCACGAACTCGTATGAGATTGGAAAAGAAGTTTCGGGGTCCAGAGATGATGCCACAGGCCACCACAACACCCTGCAATCTGTGCTAGTTTTGAGATTTGCTTCCCAGTCCTCAAGGCGAAGCATTTGTGTGTCGAAATCTTTGAAGAGAGCAACAATCTCCTCTTTCTGCTGCTCTCGATTGGAGCTAGAGATTGCGTCTAGCCGCTGCAGAAGGGATGGCAGACCAGAAATCTCGTCTAGCAGACTCTGCATCAAAGATTTTGGCTCGGACGAAAAAGGTTCTGTTTTCCACGCAGGTTCGTCTAAGAAGCTTTCTTTTCGTTGTTGAATTGCCCCGAGTAGCTGTCGATGTCAGTGGTGTTGTCGTTTACTTATATGCGGTCCGTGACTCACCATGAAGATCCGGAAGCCCGTAAAAAGCTGGTGCAGAACGCCTGATTTGAAAGCATCTGGGCCATTCTCTTGAACTAATTTGCATACACCTCGAGTGTGCGCTGACCATCCATTATGCTCGGTGCCTAGTAAGACCTATTGAGAAAAATGTTGAGCTTCTGAATTGACAACTGGGGCAATGGTCATACCTCAGCAAGAGTCAAGCACAGGATTGTAGCCAATATTTCTTCAAATGACACTTCTCCAGCCATAGCAAGGCTAGATTTTAATAAACAAAGAGTCTCGCCATAGGCCTCAAGTGCCTGTAGGGTTCTCCTCAGAATTGAGTAGCCCAGCGATTTGATCGCAAATTGAAGAACATCTGGATGTACCAAAGACCGTGCTGTAATCTCTGGAAGTAGAGTGACCCAAGAGCCACACACTCGAGAGTCGAGACAGGCAGCTGTGCCGTCCACGGTTCGGACCAATGATCTTTCCTGAGCAGGGGTGAAATTGTTGATGATGACCGAGATGAGGTAGTCTTGCTCCGTTGAGAATGCCTCATCAGCCTGAGCGACTTGGAATTTGATTGCGGGTCCGGCTGTTTGCCGACGCCTGGCCCTGGGTTTCTTTTCGGACCCCTTTAGGGAGCTTGGAGAGCTCGGAACATCCTTCGCCTTTCTTCGAGACTTCCGAAGTCCAACATCTCCCTCCACAAAAATTGTTTGACGATGGTAGCCGCCACACGATCTTCCTGTCAACAAGCACTGCGAACACGATGGCGTTTTTTGATCACACTTTACCAAATTATCACGACTGCTCTCTCAATGAGAAGCTGCTCGACTTACCGCGATTCTCCGGACGGCGCAAGTGCTGCACCTTTTCGCTTTTCTGAACTCGCTCATACCTCATGCAAGCTCGGTGTTCAGAACAATTACAGTCTTGGCGGAGGCTGTATCCGATTGTGCTCGGAGATTTAAAGGAAAGCGATCTGACTTTCTGCTTATTACGTGTGTGACATGTTCCCTGACAAATCATGAGCAGGAGGCGTTTGGCCCAAATAGGCAACCGAACGCGCCAAGACTTGTGGAGTTTTCCCACAAAAAGCCGAGGAAGATGACACTGGCTGAACTAACTCCAGAGAAGATGATTCGCGGTCATGACGAGAATATAACGATTGGTGTGAATTGGGTGGGTTTGGGAGATGGGCCGGAGTAAGCGAATCCGAATCCGATGCGATGAACAGAATCCAATCCCCGCTCTTCTCGGATAGGTACGATCAATGATTACTATTTCTGAACTTATGTAAACAGGTTTGAAGATGTACTTAAATCTCGAGTTGCTCGGCTTGACCCAATGTAGCCCATCTTTGTGTATCCAAGAATCCCTAAAATGGTCGTTTCATCAACTTCATCGCTTCTCCTCTATGCCGCCGCTGGCTTTTCCGCCTTCACGGTGGCGGCACACACGCAGATGGGCTTCGATACCGTGCTGCCCTCTATCAGGAAAGCAAACCCAACAGATCCGGGCCTGGTGGCTGCCAAAATCGGCTGGATGGAGTTGAATCAGGGCTTTGTCTTGATGTGTATGTTTATTTTTCCCCACTTGTATTTACCCTTTTAATTATTGAAACGACCACTTCAAGCGAATGGTATTAGAGGTGAACAATCAGCAGGGATTCTCGTACTTCAGAGATGAAATGGAGAACCAAGAGGAAGAGAGAAACGAAGCTGGCTGAAAGCTGACAGATTTAAATAGCAATAATGGCGGTAAAATGGGCTCGTCATGGAATCACTGGCCCGTACGAGAAAGCTTTTGCAGCCGTCTATTCGATCAGCCAGGTGTTTTTCGGGGCGTGGTATGCCAGAGTAGGCTTTCCGGTGATATTGGTGCCACTTTGGGGTATCCCAGCTTTGATTGGGTTGAGCCAGTTGGTTTGAAAACAGCAGGAGTGTCTTTGCAATGTACGCCATATGGTAGGAAAGCTGCTCAAGCAGAAAAGTGAAAGCGTGCATGAGACTTGTTCCGCGGGGAGGACACAATTTTGACGGAATTAACAGATGAGCATTGTAATTATAAATAATGTACTTGATTCAATTTGCCGTATTCCTCTATCTGGTCCCTTTGAAGTTTTTCATCTTTGAAAGTGTTAGTTATCATCTTCCACAGCCTCTTGACCTCACTTTTGGCGCCTAGCTCTTGGTGTGCGAACCGCCAAAGTCGATGAGCCAAGCATCATCACTACCATCGGCGAGATTTTTTTCAGCCTTGCTTCGCCCTAAACGATTCCTGCGTGATATAGTTGTGAAATCGTTTCGTCAATCTGCTTGACCCACCTCCATGCCGACATATGTCAGCAGCATGCCAAACACCTGATGATTTTCATCTCGTATAATACCAAAAAGACGCAAAAGGCGCGAGATCTGTGGCATCTCGTCCAAAAAGCGTCGCGAATCTTGCTATACTCGCGAATCTCGCTTAAGAGAAACCCTTTGTCCCGCTGCGCATGAGCTTTGAGAATGCGCTACTACTCTCCGATGGTAGTGGTTTGGCGGTATAGGCGAGGGCGGACTGGTTGCGTTCTTATCTCCGCATCAGAACATCACGAATAGTTTAAAGAAGGTCATGTCGGACAGGCAGCCTCGGGAGGATGTATATAACCCGTATAACGGACAATTTCTATGCCGGATCTTGATATACATAAGTAAGAAAGAAGGAGAATCGCTGCAAGCTTACTCTGTAGCTTCAATTTGGCTGAAAATGAGGAGAGGTGACTTCACAATCTCGTTTTTAGAGTCACTGGCGGTGTAGCATTCTAACTCGAAATTTCCTACACTCTTTAGAAGCATAAATCATTTGTCTTCAATAAAGGCAACTGAGTAAGCTTTAGAGTAATAAGGTGAACGACAACACAACAGTTATTTAACAAGGCCACCATTTCTCGTCCAGGCCCTCAACATTTAGGGTGTAATTTTCAGCGTAGTTCACATTGATCCATGCTGGAGCCGGCGGAGTTGAACTTGACACAGTCCGGGCCTATTGTTACGACGATCGTTTGCTGGATATGTACAAGTGCTCCCTTACTGTAAAGTAGATCTCAAATTCTGAATGACAATCCGACGAGGCCGTTGCTTTCATCGTATCATATGCATCTTTCCTTATATAAGCAAACAAGCAAGCAAGGTATGTGTCACCTAGATGTTCACACGATGAAAAGATTGAGAAAATTGAGCAATAATATAGTTCTATCGGTTGATACAAAGCGCGAATTATGATCCAAGTACATGTTCAATGTGCCAATTACTCTTTACCTTGGGCCTTCCTCTGAATAGCGAGCATCTTCTGCACCGAAGGGCGCTGCAAGACCCTGTTGTGCCATGCAAACCAGTCAGGCCATAACTTCTTACGGCCCTCAGCAGTTGCAGACTCTTCATCGCCCTGTAGAACAGTATCCAATGCCAGGTCCCAAGGAATATATGCCAGATCAGCCAGAGTAATCTTGTCTCCTACCAGGTACTCCTTGCCTTTGAGGGCGCGGTCAACAGTGGTGATGGTCCTCTTGACCAAAGCTTGAAAGTGCTTCGTCGAGCCCTCATTCTTGAGGATGTGTTGCGCAATCAGACCCTGTTCGATTTGAGTATTAGAACTGGCCAATCTCCAATAAGTGCATTATTCTCAACAAAACTTACCTGGGCAAAGAATGGTCCCTGTGAGGCCGCCTGAAACCCGAGCCATTGCTTGACAAGAAGCTGATTCTGCTCGCCCTCCACGCTAAAAATACCCTTCTTATCGTAATGATCAACCAAATATTCGCTGATCAGGTTGGACTCTGTCAGCTCAATGCCGGTTGTGGGGTCCTTAATCCATGGGACACGTCCAGCTGGATTTTTCTTCAAAAAGTCTTCGTGCTCAACACCACCATTGGCATCTCCAAAGGTGAGGTATGTAGCGTTGTAAGGAATTCCCAGTTCCTCGAAAAGAATAATATTCTTCCAAGGGTTGGGGCCATCACCTTTATGAAAAGTCCATCAGCTTATTGCCCAACAGTTATACTGTTAAAGCACAGATCTTGGTGGTATACTTACGGTGAGAATAAAAGTCAATTGCGTTGGTTGCCATATTCTTCTTTGTTGTTTCCACGTTCTGAGATTGTGTCTTGTTAGAGGTTGTTGTATGTAGTAGTCCATGTCTTTGGAGAATCTTTTTAATGTCCATGTCCTGAATGATACGAATTTTGGGGATACTCTGGGTTGAGATACTTATACTTTTTCAAAGCCCTATGTCATTTACATTCACTCGTAGCATTCGCACTCCATCTTTGTTATTTAGTAAACCTTCGCACCAGTTCGGGAGCAATACGCTAGAATTTTCGGCCTTTGGTCAGTCCTCGCAGATGCTTGTTTCTTCATTGGGCCGTAGACACCATCAAATTTGACAATCAGAGAATAGCTCTTATGATTTGATACCCAAAAGTACTTAGTTGATGGCGCGGCAATTAAAATAGTAAGTATATTATAAAGCTGGACATTTCTAACCCTACCCAAGTAGTGGCGCAATCGTTTTTGCTTCTTTAACCCAGCTGTAAATGGACATGAGTAACAAGCCATGTGTAACATGCATTGACGCAGTTCCATTGGGACTCAGGATTCCATGTCAATTGAGTGTAAAGTGGGGAAGGCATAGTTGGACATGACACAGCTAGAGAGCATTATTAAGCTTGTGAACATGAGATCTTGAGAAAATGAGATCACATTGCGATTTTGACCGCAGCTTCGTCCGCAGCTTCGTCCGACCAGTTCATTGCGTGAATTGACTACTGTAGGGACTGTAGGAGCAAGACCCCAATCTGGTAAAGGCGAGCGAGAGGCGTACACGGGGGGACGGGAGCCCAAGTCTTGTGGAGCTGACTGGGAGCTTTCCCCCAATCGTGGTCTAACGCGGAGTTCTCCGTGTCTAGTTTCTGTCGGCTAATTTCGATGTTGCGCTCGAACTCGACGGGAAGCGAGAGAGTTGGCGTAGAAGGTCCGCAAATTAGAGAGTTGCAGAATGTCCACCAGCATATCCGGGCGACTTTCCATGCGTTAGTCTCGCAACGATCGGAATATGCGGACAACGATTTATTCTCCCGTCCTATTAGATTCAACCCTGCGAAGCACTATTCGAAGCTCTCTTCCATGGTGACAGGTGCCTATGCCACTGGGCAGTTAGAGTTTTAACGTTTGATACTTGGCTATCCCCGGAGCGGAAACGAACGGTTTCCTAATCAAGTCTTGCCCTCGCATGATGTGCCCCGGGGCGGTTGAGATCTACGTCATGCATGAGTAAGCATCAGCAACTGCTGGACATATATGTGACTGAAGATAATGGCATGTTTCTTTTGCATGTTTCTTTTGCATGAGCTCTTCAATATCTTAAAATCGATAACCACCAGTATCAGGGTTCCACCTACCGAACACCTAACTTTAACATGGATCCGAAAGACACGAGCCCCTCTATCTCCTCTTGGAACGACAGTCAATTCAGCTATGATATGCAAGGTCCAATGGACATGACATATGACGTACGTGAACCTCTCCTAGCCAAAGGATTCCTTCAGAAGCGGGGCTGACAAGTGATTAGGAAGCATTTACGGAGGTGATGCAGTGCTTTTTGCCCATACAGCAACCAGATTTCGCCGCTCTTTCATCAACATGCAGTTCTCCAATCAAACCATTCACTCCACAGTCATTTAATGGAATGTCAGACGGTTTAGTCGACACACTAAACCCATCATTCTCACCTCCATCAAGTCGATCTCAATCGCCTACATCATCATCACCAACATCACAAATTGATCTAACAGTAATACACAAACTTTCAAAACGGCAGAGGAATAGAGATGCGTAAGTATACTACTAAAGCCCCCTAAAGATAGTAAAGGGGAGTAGGAGGCTGACATAGAACATCAGGCAACGAGCGTATCGAGAGAGGAAGGAGAAATTGCTTCATACTCTTGCAGAAAAGGTGGAAAAGCTTGAAGCTGCGTATAACGCAGTAAAAGAAGAGCGCGACCAGCTTCGGCAGAAGCTGGATAGTTTGACCAATACTCCTCCACCCACAGAAGGCGACATTCCAACTTACAATGATCAATTCGCCTCTTTTACCAATTTCCAATTCGACAACTATCTATTCAGTAATCTGCCACGACATCAAATCGTATTGCCACTATCATGAGAAAGATGGCGGCTATTCATTATCACCTGACAGTTCCTTCTACTTTGTCTTATTACTCACATTATGAAGCGTATACCTAGAGAGCCATGGGATTAGGATGATTCAACGAACAATAGACTTGTACTTATATAGAACTCTACTAATGATGGCCGATAGCTTTTAAAAAAAGTCTATTGAGTTACTTACTACTTTTTAATTCTGTTGTTGATGAGTATGTGGTAGTGAAGTATCGTATGCGTTGATTGGGCCTTTTAACAGAATCTACATATGGATTTTGCCACGTATGAGCTAATATCCTTTATGACGGAAAATCATTGGTAATTTACTGTAGTTTATACAGTAACTTCAAGAGAAGACCAAAAGTAAGTTTATGGTATAGAACATGGAAGACAAATTCTGCCTCTTTGTAAGAGACAGAAACTATGTTACTACTGGTGAATGATTATCCATGGCAAGAAAGAAGAAAACCTTTAGTTTCTAGAATTTAGGGGTCTAGCTGTTGAATCACATGGTTCACTCAACTTGATTCAGAATTTCTCTCTCCTACATCTAATGCGACTAGAAATCTGCTCACACCATTGTAAGTAGCCACGGCTACCGTAAGTTCCACAATTTCTCTGCTGTTGAGACCCGAGTTTTGCAGTTCCGTGAATATTTCTTCCTCTACTGCAATGTCCTTTGTCATGGCGTCTGCATATCTGAGAACAGCCCACTGGTCGAGATTTAGGGGTCCTCTTTCCGACGGTCGCAGCGTTTCAACTACCTTCATTTTTGCCGAGTCGAATCCTTCGCAGCGATGCAACATCGCTATGTGTCCGTCATATTGATACCAAGCTCGGTTAAGCAGGGCAACGCGGCAGATGGCAAGCTCCAGCAGATCAGCTCGCAAGACCGACCCTGAATAGATTGCGCCGAAAAACGAATGCCAGCCTCCGGCTATCATAGGCGAATGAAGTAGAGTTCGGTCGAGAGACAGTAGCCCAGATCTACCACGGCGAGCCAGTATCTGATCAAGCACCGCTCTGCCCGCAGTATCAAGACCGGTGGGCGGATTAGGTATGTAGGGAAGACGCATCTTTCGCCCGGTATCTTTCGACAGCTAGTAGTGCGATAGCGGATAGAAACACTCTTTACAATAGTGAGCCATCAGTGTTTATTCGCAATATCTTTTCGAGTTGCGCTGATAATTGAGATGCGACTTATATATAGGTATGCATATCATTTGCCATGAGACATCTCGCTGTCTGGATCGCAAACGAGAGTTGGAAAAGAACATTTTCCTATGGCATCTTATTACTAGTAATGCTGTAGTAGGATAAGCCAAGAGCTGCTGCACGTTGAATGCTCGCATTATTAGCGCAAAGCTCGCAAGGAACCAGGTGGGCATTGAGCAAACCTTTTGAACATGAATCTTACTTGTGACCGCTCCGAATTGGAGCGGACTTGTGAATTAGTCTGGCTATTCCCGCCTTGCTGTGGCTTCTTTAGGTTGGAGGGTGGGTCAACTAATGGGGTATTAAGATGAGGAATCAACAGCTGAACAGCAATGCCCATTGGCTAATAGATCAGTCATCAAATTGTGCCCGCATATTGGGTGATATTTGGAACTCCGCGCGTATATGCAGTTGCATTCCGAGAGAATACCAGCAGATGGAGCACAATCTCGATAGGGTTGAGAAAAGAAAAAGAAGCAAAGTGACGAGGTCTGCTGAATGAGAATATTTACTTCAGTTAGATGTAAACTGCTGTAACATAAACTCCTAAATAAAGTAATAAAAGATTAATAATGAGGTACAGCAATGGAGCGAACTGGTATTTTTGGTATACTAATAGTCCGCCGCTTTAACTTAGCGGTGTTATGCTTTTACCACTGCAATGAGGAAATAATTAAGGAATCAAATTGGTTCGCATTTAGTCATTCTGCCTCTTGTAAGCCACCGTACTGGGAAATTTGTAAGCCACAGATGTGAGCACTGACAACTAAGTGTATGAACAGGAATGATGTGTGTGGCAGAACATGGCGAACGACATATTCAATATATAAAGCAGTACTAGAAGTAGACCTGATTTACAGATAGTGAGCACAAAAAGTAATAGACATATATATTTATAGGCAAACGCCTTACAACAAAGATGTCATTCACGAAGCAGCGAGTTGAGTTCAAAACTCAGGATGGAACAACCCTTCGCGGGAACTTGACATTGCCGGGTGTATCAAAAGCACCAGCTGTTATCATGATCACGGGGGTACGAATATTTTTGATCGACTGATGTACGCAAAAGAGTGAATGAGTTGCTGATGCACAATTTTTCTAGCTCACCTTCCTGAATGAACATGGTGCAGATGACACTGCGGAAGCATTCCAAAAAGGTGGTTTTGCCACGCTACAATATGATCACCGCCATTAGGGATCGAGCGACGGACTACCTCGACAGCATGTAAACCTCTTCCAGCAAGCCGAAGACTTGTCAGATGCCATCTCATATATGGCTGGCAGATCGGACATAGACGGCGATAGGATTGCAATTTGGGGGATTGGTCACGGCGGAGGAGTTGTCATACAAACAGGCGCGTATGACAAGCGCGCGAAGGCGGTTATGGTGATATCTCCATTCTTCTCTGGGGAGGTTGATATGCTCAGATTTCCGCCAACGGCTTACCAAGACGCATGGGAGGAGCGTGCCGCGCGGATTGCAAATCCCGGGATTGAGCATAAATATGTGCCAATCTTTGCGGAGTCGATGGAAATGGCTGAGAAGAGCCCGCTGGATAGAATCATTGGGAATCCTCAGGGGTTCTTCTTATGGAAAACGTCCAAGCCATTGTCAGATGCTGCAGGAACGCCATGGGAAAACAAGCTGACGCTTGAGAGCTTGTATTGGCAGAGCAAATTTGAACCGACTGCATCGATACACCGCATTTCTCCTCGCCCGATTTACTGGGTTGCGACGGATGCTCCGCTGCTGCCAAATTACCAGGACCAAGTTCGAGCTTATGAGAAAGCGTTTCAGCCGAAGCAATTTCGCGGTTTCCGTAGCTTAGAGGAGTCTGTTGTTGGTCCGGCACACGAAAAGAACTTGGAGGAGCAGGCCGACTTTTTGAAGAAGTGGGTATAATAGGCAGTTAGACACAGTAATCACCGATTGACATTGACAGTTGTTTGTCAAATTATGCTACAGGATAGAAAGTCGCTGAAAATTACAAATTATATACTTCTTTAATTAAGACTTTTGATGAAGAATCTCAATCACGATTATGGCATTGGTTAACGTGGCGGAGATAGGGTTGTGTTTCAAACCGAGTCTATCTCACAATTCCGCATGTGAAGAAGAGAAGAGAAGATGATATCATTCACTTGTTAGGCTAGCCTCCAATGGACCGTATATCACAAAGAATCAGAATTGAAGGTTCTGGAGTAGAATGAATGCACTGACACACTATGGTCGACTCAACTACTTCCGAGAACTCATCACGAAGGATAGCGCAGTTTCTTTGTGGCAATTCATTGATCAGTTGCATCATAATGTCTTGTGCTCTTATACTAGACTAGGCTTATTATCGCCCGATTCTCCTCAATTTATTGACATGGTACTGATCGCTATTTCTGCGCAACCAAGACTCCACGATACCTCATCCCTCCATCAAGAAGCTTTTGCAATGCTTCTGTAGCGCCAGCCGCCGTTAGTGGGAATTCTTCTACAACTGGGGCGATATTATGGCGAGCAGCAAACTCCAGCATTTCGCGATGAATCTGCCGCGTAGCAATCATATTTCCTTGGATTCTCAAGCCACCCATTATGAGACCCATCGCTGGTACCGAAATGTTATCAAAAGAAACTGTAATCGGGTAAATTTTCCCTTCTGGCGCCATAATGGGTAGGAACAGGTTCCAGTCTGGTTGAGCGTTGCTTGTAACCAGTAAGTGATCAATCGGAGCAGAGATTTCCAGTTTTTCGACGCCTTTTGTCGTATAGAATTCACTTGCTCCGAATGTCATCGCTTCAGCTCTCTTTTGCTCAGTGCTGGAGAAGACGACCACTTGACATCCCATTTTGGAGGCAAACTGAATAGCCAAGTGGCCCAGGCCTCCCACTCCAATAACGCCTACTCGATCCGTGGGGCGAATGCCATTTAGCTTCAACGCGTTGAAGACTGTGGAACCTCCACACATCAAGGGACCGGCGTGGCTCGACGAAATATTGTCCGGTATCTTGTAGATGAAATCCTCTTTCCAAACTGCAGCACTTGCGAACGAGCCTTGGTCAAAGTTGGCAAGACCAAACATTTCTTGTTCTGCGCAGAAAGTCTCCCTGCCTGTAAGACACTGTTTGCAATGCCCGCAGCTGTTATATTGGTATCCCCATCCAACACGGTCACCTCTTCAACGGCACAGAATTAGTGATTGCCAATGATAGAGATTGAATGTGACTTACACCTTGAATCTAGTTACTCCTGAGCCAATCTGTTTTACAATTCCAGATCCTTCATGGCCAAGAACCATGTCTGCTTGCCGATAATGCTACAATTTTCGTTAGTTGTCGTTTCGTGGCGGAAGTAAAGACAGTTGATCATAGCTTACATAGTCGGTGAAGCAGACACCGCTGTGTGTCACATCAATGACTACCTCGTCGGACTTGACTTCGCGTGATGAAGTTGCATCGACGAGTGTACCGTCGGGAGATCCCTTCACAACCTTGAACTCGACCATGATGACTGAATTCCTACTATATCGTGCGAAGATTTCTGTTTGCGGATCTGGGCTCTTGTTCATGTGGAATTGCCAAAATAATGATATTAGTGTTTATTTATACTCAATAGCAGATATTACCGTCAATCCAATAGTGAAGAAATAATTAATGTGTACGCAAGTATCGTCTGACACTCATGTGGTGTTGCAGTGTGTAAGTGCCCCATCGGATACGCTAATTGCTGTTGTATCTAGCGCTGATACCAATAAGGATATCGGTTTAGGAATCAGCGAGATCAGTCATTGGGCGACTGAAACTTTTTGGTACCCGAATTATGAGTTTCATTTATAATCTTTAGCTATTAGTAATTACATTCTTGATACAGTTGCTTCATGCTGTTAGGCAAGCAAACCGGCCACGTAATTATACAAGTTGAATACCTTTCCTGAAGTCGTTGAAATGTAGCGGCGTTCATGATGGCATTCGGTGTCGCCTATTGCGTGGTGAATTAGCCATCAGCCACTTCACAACACAGAGGGGGCTACACTTGTGTCTTCTTAATAATTGACAAAGCGATCATACTTCTACAGTAGTAGTATTAGAAATGAAATGTTAACTTACACATTCAACTCCACTCTGGATTACAAGAGCGAATGAATGTTCCTCAATCGGAAAGTTGATTCCAATCTAGGAATGGTTTTGGTAATTATCGTTTAGCCAACTGCGATTTGAATCTACGTTTTTTTGCACATCAGAGCGATGTTCGTAAAAGATCGTATCACTATATAGACTCAGTTTCTCTCTCGAATGAGTTGAAAGATAAGCAAACATCCATTGACCAAGACACAACATACAGCACAAAGAGCAATACTTAACATCCAATCAACAGCACTCGATACAAAATGGTTCAACCTGTTCAACCTGCTATCGAAATTGTCGTCACTGACATCGGTGATCACACAATCGATGATGTGTCCACGCAGGATGGAAAAGACTGGTTAGAGGCATTTAGAGCAGGAGCTGAAACGATTCCCGGCGTTGTGCGAGCTTGCTGGGGCCGAAGCTACAGAGACTCTAACATTGCCATGCATTTCATCGGTATGAACCCTTGGCAAATATGCTGCGATTCTTTAGGTCTAACAATATAGATTACAAAAACACGCCGTCAGCATGATGTGCATAAGAGAGACGATCTTGGTGGAGCTGTTCCTGAGTCGCTGTGGCATATCATGGACAGAGAGAAGACTGATCTCTACGTCATTATCCCAAACACCCCCGACCGAAGCATCCTCTATGCACCACAAACCAATGTAGTCTTCTTCTGGGGTATCGATGAAGACGCATTCAGAGCGAAGCAGGATGAATTCTTCACTGCCATTGAGAAATCAGATTCCTGCTTTGGCTATATCTGGGGCGAGATCCAGCCACCCGTGCTTTCTGACAAGAGGGGTTATGCTGCATTAGGCAAAGGAGGAGTGATGATCAGCGGATGGAAGAGTCGTGAAGAACACGATCGAGATGTTGCAAAGCCTAGAGTTGTGGAAGCATACAAAGCTGTTTCAGCGACTGTCAAGAGGACCGATATTTGGGGAATGCAGGTTTCTATCGTGGAAGAGAACGGGCACTTCCACAGGTGGCAGCGTTTGACTAACACAGATGTTACGCAATGGGACCACTCCAAATGGCCAATCGCTTGATTGGCCAAGCTAGAAAGCACCTACATGTTACATACATTAATAAAATTGTTACCAAAGAAAATTGACTTCAAAATGGCTACAAAACCTGGCATCTTTTGGTGTATATTGTGCGCTGGTTGCCATCATGCAGTCATCTCTATTGTAATTGACTCTCATCGAAGAGGCCACAGTAGCTGTGGTAATATGGAGTAGACCTTTGCTGTGACTAATTGTGAGTCTCTATCTGGCCAAGGTGCCTGTTTTGTCTTTGCACTTAAGAACGGCAGATTATACCTCCAATCTAAGGACTTTTGTTGATCGTACAAGTAGGCAGCAAAGGTGAAGGAGACTTGGATTGATGCGATTGACCCTTAGCAGCCTTTACCCGCATAACACATGCAGCTCATAAACCATATGTAGGCGATCCCGAGGCGCGGAATAAATGACGTAATTAAGTCTATGGATCTATAACACCTTTTTGCTCTTCTCTCTATCTTACAATTCGTACAAGTTACAGAGTGTACTTATTGGCTTCCAGCAACCACCGAACTGCCGTTGCAAGCTCCATCCCCGCCTTACCGGTCGTTGGCAGCTGAGGAAATTGAACGAACCTGTTGTGGTTATTAGCTCGAAGGCTGAACTAGAAAAGTTTATCATGACTTACCAATTGGGCAATTCGTAGTGATCAGTTCGAGTCTGGACACCGGCTAGGGTCAGGTCCGTCCATAGCAAGGTATGTCGGGGGGAGTCCCTTGAGGTCTGCCCAAACAGGGAAATGTTCTGCTTACGCGCCTGGTGAAAATGCGCTGGCTTGGGTGTATTTCATCGCCGCAGCGGAAAGTTCCGTCCCTGCGAAACGCACTTTTTTCTCCAAAAAGCTGATGGGTATTTTTGAACGGGGAACATTTACTAACACGACAACCGCATTCGTCATGCTCCATCACATTTGGAACTGCCGAGAGATGGGCGATAACTGGACCAAGACTCTGAAGCAGACACCTTCAGTACTGGTCTTGAAATAAGATCAAAGAGGAAACTGAAAGGATAGAAGATGAGCCTCCTCTCACTCCAGGGTGCGAGTGTTCATAATACTATTACAATCAACAAAAATTAGGTCAAGCACCATTATACGAAGGGAGAGCAATTACTCATTGCATGAGGACGCTAGGTTCCGAAGCAGGGTTAAGGGCAGGCAAGAGAAGCCAAAGGTTTTTGATATAGAGTTGACTCCCGGTTTTCGGAGAGGTAGAAATGGAATCTCTCAGTGAGAAAAATATCTCTCAATGACTATAATTGGCTCCCTTTAACAAGTAGAAAGAATAAGAAATAGCAAAGTGTAGGATTGTGATTCCATGTATGAAAAGACAGAGTACAAGGCAGCATTTCACATTGTACTGACTCATTTTAGATTAAACGAGTAAGTTCGTCGCCTTTAGAGATCACCCAATGCATTAGCCAGGAGAGAAGAGAAGAAAAAAGCGGATCTATAGACTTCAGCCTTATCCTAAATGAGCCATTTGATTCTATATCATCTTCTAGAGCTCTGTCGTCACTGCGGAGATCCCGACGCCATCTCGGACGAAGGTTACAGCAGCTAGTAGAGATTATACATAGCTCTTTGGAATTTTTACTGGTCCTTCGATTACAGTTCGGACCAAACAGTAAGTAATAAGTGAAATGCAATAAGATTTTGTTTGACATGCCACATGTGTTGGATATAAAATGTCCACAAGGAATTGAAAGGATATCATTAACAACACACAATCTAGCGATACATTGATCATCCCATCAAGAGATACAAGACGAAGACAACAGCATTACAGTAACAAAAACACTTGTGATCGGCAAACCCAGCAGCAAACATTGTACACCACACCAGATCGACGTCTCATAGCAATTCAATATCACAGCAAACCAAGATGCCTAACGTACTTGTTATCGGACCCACTGGCTATGTCGGCTCGGCTCTTAGCGAGCAGCTCATTCGCAGCGGTGATCATTACGTCTACGCCGCATCTCAGAGTGAGGAGGAAGGATTCCGCCTCGCTACCAACGAAATTATTCCCCTCAAGGGGAGCCTTGATTCTCCTCAGGCGGCATTTGAACTCATTAGTTCAAACAAAATTGATGTTATTGTGGATACTACCAGCTATAACAACAAGACAACCAAGTCGAGGCTGCTAAGCACCATTGTGGATGCTGAGAAGATCAGGCGGGAACAGCTCTCCAAGGACAAGCACCCCATTCAACCAAAGCTGGGTTTTGTCACTGTGAGCGGAATATGGACTCAGGGATCGACTGAGGATCCTTACGGGAGCTTTCAGAAGATGACTGCTGAATCGCAATCAGCAGTACCCGAAGAGGGCCTTAACGAGTCAAAGCTTCTATATGAACAAGAGGTTTTGGCGTCTAGGGCAATCCTTGATGTCGCTGTCATCCAGCCATCGTTTATATGGGCTCGAGGAGGTGCCTCTTGGACTCGCATCCTGGGCCCTCTTGTTGAAGGAGCGCGCACAGGATCTACTGCTTCACCAATATTGATGATGTGGCTGTTGCCATTGAGCTGGCGGTGAATAAACTGCAGCTAATCAACGGAAACAGCGTGCATCCGGTGTTTGAGCTGGTGGGAGATCAGTTCCCTATTGGTTTACTGTTTGAGCGCGACGCTCATTATTTTGGATGCAAGAGGAAAGCAGAATTGTACAAGCCTGAGAAAACAGGCTTCTTGGATGTTATTGGCGGGAACCACAACGCCAATAGAACCAAGGCTGAGCAAATTCTAGGGTGGTATCCTAAGAAGCGATACTTCTTGAGAGACACGTTCATCTACGCCAATTCATTCATGGCAGCTTTGGCACTTGCCAAGCGCAAGTAGGTGATACGTAGAAAAAGTATTCAAATTGTAGAGTTAGTTTAAGAATAGAACTGGTCATTGGGAAAACTTCTGTCATTCCCTTGATAATCTTGACATTTTATACTGCTGAGTTCGTGCAAGTTCAGTAAGTTGTAAAAGTGATAAGGAGTGAATAGGCCGCACACAACTGGAATCCAAATAAGGTTTACATTATGTACAAGATATGAACCCATAGATACAATGAGAGTGCTTGCATCTCCCGATTCTATTTACTTTATTTGTTACTTTTTTTTCGTAGCTGCATCTTTACGAGCAGCTATTTCACCTAGCATAATCAACATTTGGCTTACTCTCTCCGTCTTTCCTGGCTTCGGATAAACAGTTGCCAGAATAATGCAAGTTAAGTCTTCACTCCTTTTGCCATCGCTGCTGATGTTTATTTGTTTGTTTATTTATTTTATTATTAACGTCCACTAAGTAATCTAGTTACATAAGTCCTTATCTAAGTATTAGGATAGTAAAAGCTGCTGAGTTTAAATTAGGCATTTACTACGTTTTAATATAATAAAGGAAATAGGGAAGTGTTAGTTTATTTTATATATTTATTTTTATAAAAGGGGGGCTATATAGGCTTATTTCCTTTACTAGTTTTTAAAAGTCCTTATACCCTCTATTACTAAAAAGGTATTAAATATAAGTAGTTTTAAAATATACCTCCCTTTTTAATATATTAAGGAGAAAAAGGGTTATTATATAGTACTTTATAAAGTACTCTTATATTTTTAGTTTCTTATATTTATAAATAGGCCTAGTATTATATTTAAATTTTTTATAATATTTTATAAAGTTTTTATATTTAAACTTTTTAACTAATAGCCTATATAAGATTAAGTATAAAAATTATAGCTTTAGGGGTATAAGGGGGGCTTTATAAAGGCCTTATTTATTAGTTTTATAAAACTTTAGGAATTATTATTTTAGTTATTATTTTATATTTCTTTATATTTTTTTTTTACTTATTTTTTAATAAAGGTAATAGTAAAGTAGTTTTTTAAAAAGTAAAAGAGTTTTAAATTTTTTTTTATTAATTAATTAGCTTTTTTATTTTTTAATATATTTTTATAACCTAAAATTTAAGTTATTTTTATAATTATTTATAAAAGTAGTCTTTAGGTAATTTAGTATAACTTTATATAAGCTCCTTAGGATAAAGTAAAAGTTAGCTTTAGTATTTTATTTACTACTACTAAGTTATTTAAAAAAAGTAAAATTTCTTAAATATTTAAATTTATAAAGGTATATATTTTAGCTAGTTTTATAATTTTAAAAATATCTATTACTTTAGTATTATAAACCTTTATATTAGTAAAAGGATTATATATTATAGTTTTTTTAAAGTTATAGTATATAATAACTCCCTAGCTTATATTACCTTATTTATTTTATAAATTATTTAAGTAAGCTAGGAGGGTAAACCTAGGGAGGCCGTTAAGTAGTTTTAGGTATTTTTCTACTATCTTTAATTTTAGTAGGCTTTTAAAGTCTAGGCTTACTTAAGCTACTTTATTATTTTTAGTAAAAAAAAAAAGTTAAACTATTTTCCTTACTAAAGCTATAATATATTATAGTTAGGTAAAAGGAACCCTAGGGGTGTCAGAGCCTATTTAAAGAGGGCGCGGTCGCGCAACGGCCGCGCACCGGCCACGTTACGGGGGCGCAAGTTAAGGGTTACGAAGCCCTTAGCTTAGTAATAATACTATAAAAAACCTAAAATCTAAGGAAGGAATTAAGGAAGGCAGAGATAAATACAGTTACTTCGCTACCCTAAGCTTACGTATTCGCTATATAGTTACCTATAATTATCCCTTATCCCTCTTTATTTTCTTCTACTAACCCAGCTTTTAATAGATTTATCTCTCTACTTATAAAGGGTAAAGGGACCGTTGAAGATAAGGATAATTGCCAACGAGACTTATTCGTATAGACTATAATCTAGTAGCCGTAAGGCTGCAGTCCTGCAGACTTAACTACATACGTAACTGCAAACCCCTCTGCAGGTGACTTCGTAAATAAGCACTGCGACCCTCCTTTAACGAAAGACCCCTGAGCTAAGTTAGCTTAAATCCTTTTTATTAAAGGAACTGTAAAAACGTACTACAGCCGCAGTTAAAATATAGAAGAAAAGAAAGATAGTATTATAAGACTTTGAAGCTATAGGGTAGCTAGTCTTATCACTGGTCTAGTAACAAAGGGTAAAAAGGATCAAATTGATCAAATTTGCTTATTAAAATATGTTCATTGAATTGAATTACTAGTACAGGAAAACTCAGGAAAAACCTCTCTTATTTATATTCCAAAAACCAGTAC